AACGCGATCGGATTTGATATAAATTGCGCAGATAGGTTTTCAAATTTTCGTGCAAGAATAGAGGGTTTCCATGCGGAAATTTTATCGATATGTCAGGTGTGAGGACCCGCGAACTTACGCTTGGAATTTCACAAAATTTGGTAGGTAAAGACAACAAGTTTCACGACTTTTGGGTCATGCAAATTAGTTTAATATATGTTCTATCCATATCAAGATTGGGCGCTTTTGTTCCCTGGGGGTTAGTTAGTGTTATTCTCTGATTCATTATTTTCACTTTCAAAAATGTTAGATGTGTATATGTATGCGTTTATACGAAGCGTGTTTTCGTTTGTTTGAAGAAAAATCTAAACGTGTATAGCACAAATTCTGATCTATGTAAATTTCGTTTACACGTGTATCCCACGTGTAACCGAAATTTAAAACATCGAACGATGAATATCTGCTTCTGTTTTCATTAACAAAGAAAGAAATGTTTTTTAGCAACGCATGTGCTCTTGCTATGTAATCTACCTTATCTCACTTTTATAAGATTTTTCTTCGAACGAACGAAAACATGCTTCATATTAACGCATATATAAACTCGTCTAACATATAGTCAGTGTCCTACACTCAATCACTCATACCCTACAATTGGATCTTGACTTAGTCTGAATATCTTTCGGACTGCATCTAAGAGTCCTGGCAAGCAGGCAGATGCTGCTCTGTCCAAAACTTCACCGTATGGACTTTGACTAATCGACAGTTTGACTGCATGGAACACATGAACACGCACTCAAAAGAAAAATGAAAAACTGTTCAGAAGAGGATTTGTACTCATATCGCTTGCTCAGCAAAAAGCCGTCAATTAAGCACGGTTAACCGAGCATTTTGTGCCGGTTCGCGGTTAATTGTAGTTAATCGAGGTTAATTGGCGGTTTTTTCCCGGTTTGATAAACATGGGCTGAAGAATTGAAGATCTTAACATCGGAATATCTAAATACTTACCTTTCTTACTATAAACTGTTTTATTTTTTATTCGTCTAAGAGGGGTGATATATTTTTTACGACAACTCATGAGCCACAGTGAAGAAAATTAGTTTTAATATGATAGTACGAGCAATCTTCAGTACAGTTAATATTTATTAATGGCACTCTTTTTCAACATTGAGGGGCATCTTACAAATAATAAGAGAAGTCATTCGGATAAAAGTTTTTACGATTAAAACAAACAATAGAGCCGTATCAAATAAGGAATATCTTTATCTTTTCACATCTTGGCAAATGTTAGCAAATGTCTACGTAGACATTTGCTAACATTTGCCAAGATGTGAAAAGATAAAGATATTCCATATTTGATATAGTTCTAATTGAAATTTATGTTTAAACTTTAATTTGTGATTCATCGTACGATGGTGGTGCAGTTTCTCGGTTCACAGCAGCAACATTATGGAATGAATTTCCGGTTACAACTGCTGTTGATCGTGTGGCTGGTGTTGTTCGTGAGGCGCAACAATAGATTAGTAATCGAATCAGTAAACATAAGACAGATATTGAGGATAAAACAATAAACGTTATTGTGTACCCTGATAGGCCTGTTGAATAGCACTGAAGATAGGGACCACATCTCGAATTAGCTATAATATAAATAGATTAGAGAAGCAGAGAAAATGTAAACCTCTGATTCTTACCAGGACAGCAAAAATATAAGTTAAATGTACCACATAATTTTCCTACAAGAAACCTAACGCGTAATTACAAGTACAGAATTTTAATCAACAATACCTGGTTTCCCCTTATAGGTGCAACCATTGCACACGCTGAAGAAGATGAATAAGGCAATCGTTATACTAACTAGTTTAATTACAGCCATTTTTTGTTTTTGTTGTTGTGCGAGAAAACAAGTTATGAAGTGATAAGACCAGGTAATGACACGTTTTATCTCGGAACACTTTCTTTCTTATTTCTCCACTACGTAGAAAGATAAAAAGCTCTTAGTTCGTACTGAGTCAATGTGAGTGGGCAAATTACGTTTTTGTTGAAATAATTATTAAACATATTGAAGACATAAAAGAAGAAAAGCTTTTGGTGCTGTTAGAAAAATGCTTATAAGCGTTGATTGGGCTATTGCACAGACCTCATCATTGTGAAGAGAAATATTTGCTTCACACTTTCGAATAATAAAATCGCAAAATATGGTCTAATATGAGAAGAATTAGGAAGAGTTTCGAAAACTTGATTATGTGAAGCTTTAGAAAACTTTTTCGAAATCCCTGAAAAACTATACATATTCACACATATACATTTCAGGGATTTTGAAAAATTCCTGAAAAATCATATATCCTTTTGTCTACTTTGAAATAATATATCTTGGTATCTGCTTCCAGAAACATAATGATGTCTAAAAGTAGACACCAAGAACTGTCTAACGATATGCTTAAGTCCATATCGCAACTTTTACAGAATATTCGAATTTCTGACGAAGAACCCTTAATAGTATTCCTCTCCTTATATTTTTATCTTGTTAACATTCTGCTGTATTCCATACTAGACATATTTATGTTTGAGTGTTTACCGATTAGTTTCACATTCTCTAAAAGTTTCATCAAAATTGGAGTTAGGCTAAAGTTGGCGCACGTATTTTGTCAAACACGTCGCTTTGGAGAATTCGATAGAAAAATGTTTTATTTGGTTTGTTCGGCTTGGAAGGCCCAAAA